AAAAAACTAGCAAAAAATACCCCCAAAGCATACATAAATCTAGGTCACTACATTGACCTTTATGACTATCTCCCCATTGGTCCTGGAGGATTCTAGGAACTGCTCCTCCTAGCCTGAAGTCTATTTTTGGGACTCCTTGGGCTTTGTGGCTTGGCTTTGCCTCCATTACTGATCCGTTATATTCTCTTCTAGTTTCACCCCAGTGGGATGGAGTGGGGGGTTTAGACCAGACTTACTCCCTGCCAGGTGTCGCCAGTATTATTCTATGTCACGGTGTGCTTCAGCGAGTGGACTGGTGTCTCGAGCTGTTGTCGAGCCTACAGTCCCCTCTGTGCCGTAGCAGCTCCATTCCGGACTGTCATCCTCAGGTCTTGGAGTGTCAATATGGGGGGGTCTAGGCTCTCGCTCTCTTTCCTTCTTGGTTTACTGCCATGTGGGCATGGCATGCGGCTCCTCTCCCCAACCTGTAGGTTTAGTGTTGTCCTCTGCAGCACATACTTCCAGGGAGGGGGCCAGCTTGGCTCTGATTGGGGCCGGCCCTGTAGCCTACTCCATTCATGTGTTGCTCCGTGTAGTTATTTTGCCCTTGAGGTGTGGTGCGCCATGGTGGGGTCTGCAGATCCATTCCCAATTTTGTGGAGACAAAACCAATACTCTCCCCCTGTGTGGATTAGTGCCCTGCTCCCCCAGTCCCATCGTCTCCCTCTTTTTTCCCCCCTGCTTTTTCTTCCTCCCCCTTCTTTTTTGTGTTGGAATAACATGTACGTCCTTGGGTGTGGTCTGTTCCCTACCCGACTGCCTGTACCTCAACCCGTGTAGTGTGAGATCAGTGGCTTTTCTCCTATACTTACTGTGCTGATTATACTTACCTCAGCGGACTCAAGTTGTACATGTCCTTTTGTGCTTGGCTAACTTCGCTTAACATAATTTCCTCCAACTCTTCGCATGAGATGACGTGCTTCCTGTGATCATCAGTGCTTTTTAGTGATGCGTAGTATTCCATTGTGTGTACGTGCCAGAATTTTCTAATCCAATTGTCTATTGATGGGAATTTAGGTTGTTTCCAATTCTTTGCTATTGCAAATTGCACCACAATGAACTTTGGAGCACGGACGACTCGTCGTGGACTATTCCTTACCTCTTCTGGGTATATGCCCAGTAGAGGGATACCTGGGTCACAAGGGAGCTCAATTTTCCATTTGCTTTAAATATGGCCGATCGCTTTCCACAGAGGCTGTAAGTATCTACATGACCAGGAGCAGAGAAGGAGAGCTTCTGTCTCGCCATATCCTCCCCAACAGTTGGTGCTCTCTGATGTTCTGATTCGGGCTATCTTCAAGGGTGTTAGGTGGTATCTCATGCTTGTTTTAATTTGCATTTCTCTGATGGGGAATGATTGAGAGCATTCTCTCATGTTTATTCACCATTTGGATCTCCTCCCTAGTGAAACTTCTGTTCCAGCCTCTTGCCCACCTCCTCAGGGTGCTGTTTTCTTCTTTTTCCAGGCTAGGAGGGTATTGTAGATTTTAGTAATAAGCCCTTTGTCCGTTGTGTCATTGCTAAAAGTCCTCTCCCAGTCTGTGGGCTCGCTCGTGAAGCTCTTGGTGTAGTCTCTCAACACACACAGGTGTTTTACCTTTAGTCCATCTCACTTGTCAATTTCAGGTTCACCTGTGTGTGTGCCCTTCCCTATTGCAGTTAGTCTATTGTTCCTTGAGCCAAGGTTCTTAAGTTTGTCCCAATTCCATCCTTGATGGTTTGTGAACTTTTTAAAGTACTCTCACTGGTACAAGTATGTCCATACATTGCTGTTTAGGGGTTTTTCACAAGTCAGGGGGAAAATCCATGAAGATTCATTGTGTTTTGGGTTAGCCCCGTATAAACATGTTCATTTTCCAACAACATGCTGCCTGTCTTTAACAGGAATCATACGATAGAGGACATGTGTGAAATGAATGAAGGCGGCCACTGTGGGAAAACCTTCAGCAAGATTCCAAGCCTTACAGTTCTACAAAGAAATCCTCTAGAAGTCAATCTGTTTGAATGCTGTGAGTACGGAACCATCTTCATGGATCACGCGTTAGAGAACCAGCAGAGTGGGCCTCACGCTGCATGCAGTATCTGCCAGTGTAATGAATGTGGAGAAGCCTGGAGTTGCTCCTCTCAACCCACCACTCCAGTGAGAACTGTGAACGGGAAACAGGCTCATAGGTGTGAGGGTTGTGGGCAGGACTTCCTGTGTCTCTCGGCCCTTCGTCATCCTGCGACAAGTCTCACTGGTGAGAAATCCTGTGTGTGTAACAAGTGTGAGAAAGAGCTCTGCAATTTCTCACCCTTGTGGACGCATGGGAGAGGTTATCAGTATGGATGCCAAGACTATTGCAAAACCTTGAATCGTCCCCCATCCTTCCTGTCACATAAAAAAATCCGTAACAGAGATAAGCCTTACGAATGTAAGATATGTGAGAAAACCTTTAGCTGTTTCTCATCCCTCACGACACATAGAAGAATTCACAGTGGAGAGAGGCCCTATGAATGTCAGGAATGTGAAAAGGCTTTCAGTGAGGCCTCATCCCTCAATCAACATAAACGAACTCACAGTGGAGAGAAACCGTACCAGTGTAAGGAATGTGGGAAGGCCTTTAATCGGTCCTTCTCCCTCAAAACACATATGCGGACTCATAGTGGAGAAAAACCGTATGAATGTAAAGCGTGTGGGAAAGCCTTCAGTCACGCCTCAGCCCTCACGAAACACGCTAGAACTCACACTGGAGAGAAACCTTACGAATGTAAGGAGTGTGGGAAAACGTTCCGCTGTTCCTCATTCCTAATTAATCATCTAAGGATTCACAGTGGGGAGATGCCCTATGAATGTAAGGAATGTGGGAAAGTATTTAGACAAGCGTCAGACCTCATTACACATAGAAGAATCCACAGTGGGGAGAGGCCTTACGAGTGTAAGGAATGTGAAAAGAGCTTTAGATGCTCCTCCCACCTCACGAGGCACATGCAGATTCACAGTGGAGAGAGGCCCCATGAATGTAAGGAATGTGGGAAAACCTTTAGTCGGTCCTTCTCCCTCACCACGCACATGCGAACTCACAGTGGAGAGAAACCTTATGAATGTGAAGAGTGTGGGAAAGTCTTTCGGCAAGCCTCAGACGTCACTAAACACAAAAGAATTCATAGTGGCGAGAGGCCCTTTAAGTGTAAAGAATGTGGGAAAACATTCCGATGTTCCTCCCACCTTATTAGACACAGGCAAACTCACAGAAGGCAGAAATCTTATGAATGTAAGGAGTGTGGGAAAGCCTCCAGTAGTTCCTTCTCCCTCACACACATATGCGAGCTCACAATAGAGAAAAGCCTTATGAGTGTCAGTGATGTGGGAAAGCCATTAGTGAGAACGCAGTCCTCGCTAGACATGTAAGATCTCACACTGAAGAGAAGCCCGATGAATGTAAGAAATGTAGTCAATCTTTCTGTTGTTCCCCATTCCGAAAGCAACCAGAAAATAACTCATAGTGGGGAAGGCTTTATGAATGTGAGGAATGTGACACAGCCTTTCAGTGTTCCTCAGATCATACCAAACATACAAAAACCCAGAGTGGCGAGATTGCTAAGATAGGAAGAATTCATAGTGGACACATGTCAGAAATGGAACATTCAATCCTTAATGCTATCATTTCACACAGCAAGTTTTCCAAAGTCTGCTATCAAATAACAGCATTTCTCAAGGAATAAGAAACCAAGAATAACTCAAAAGAAGAGTTTTCATATCCACCTTGCCCCGTTACAGGAGCCTTGGTGGCATAATAACAGTGCATTGGTCTGCTAACCATAGGGTCATCAGTTTGAAACCACCAGCCGCTCCTTGAGAGAAAGACGAGGCTGTCCATTCCTATAAAGAGCTACCGTCTGGGAATCCCAGAGGGGCAGTTCTACTCTGTCCTATGGGATCACTATGAGTCACAATCAACTCAATGACAATGAGTTTGGAGTGAGTTTTTGCCTCTTTGGGAGAAATGACAGTTTCATTGTAAAGGCGGATTATCCTCTTCAATTTATTCATTTCTCAGTCCAAGTTACACTTTACATTTCTTAATTCCTTGGCTAATGCAGGGAGCAGGCTTGGGCAAATGTGTTTCTGTGGGTGTCATTTTGCGTGCAGTTAAATATCATCATTTAGTGGCTCTCAGAGTTTTGTTTCCACCTTTGACACACTACTTTCCATTCGTTCCCATTGTATTGCACCCTTTTCATTTGCAAACACTTTCACAGGTCAGCACTTTGGCACTGTGCAGTTTATCTTGTTTTCGTCGTACGTAAGCCAACTAATTCAGTTTTCATCCATGATTAAGCACAATGCCTGTTATTACTGTGCTTTTTGAAAAATAGGGGTTTTCCTCCTGTTCGGATCATTTCTTCTGGATTCATTGATTTGAAATTTGCAAGGCTTAGGCGCTCCCCCTCCCCCACTTGTTACTCCTTTATTTATTGATTGGAATGTTCATCACCATCCCAGATGACAAATGGGCCCCATTCTTAAATCTCTTGGTTGAATGTATATGTCCGAAAAGTCATGTGTGGTTCTTAACCTGATGTCAGTTAGCCACATGACTGTCTTCGTAGACAGAAGGAGCCCTGGCAGCATTGTGGGTTAAGCTACGAACCCCGAGGTTGCTGATTCAAATCCACCAGCTGCTCCGCAGAAGAAACACAAGGCCACTTGCTCTTGCAGAGCTAGTTTCAGGAATCCCGAGGACCAGTTCCTCATCCTGTATGTTCACTGTCATTTGGAATTGATGACCTTGGGTAATGTGTGTAGTGTGCCTTTGTATGCATTAAAAGAAAGACTTCCAGAGAGACTAAAACATCTCTAACGTGGTAATACATCAACAGGGATCGTGTTTTTGGTGCATATCACAAAGTAATCATCCCTTTGGTCACAAACTGTATTCTTTTTCACTGCTCGCCCCCCCCCCCACCAACTCCACTCCACCCACTCACCCGGTCCTACAGGATCAAGGGGCATGAGACTGTGTGTGAACTCCTGCCATGGGGCAGACCAGGTGAGGGAGAGAACGAATGTGGGAGCACGACCCCTGCCCGACGTATCTCCATGAGTGATGTCAACAGGCTCCCTGTCTATAGCCTGTTCCTTACAGCAAAAGCAAGCAATTGGGAGGTGGAGGATCTATCTCATTGCCAGTGAACAGGGCGTACAGGGCTCCAATTCCTGCAGGGGACAAGTCTAATTTGCAATAAACTTCACAGGGTTTGACTGAAATTCCTGGTTGCGTATAATTCATTGGCTGTTCACCACCAAGAACTGTTTGTGCTAATTTGTATTCCTTTTCTTTTCTGGCTCTGTTTCCAATATGGTCATCAGAAGCTTTCTTAAAGCAGATTCCTTTTATTTCTCATGTCCCCACTATACTTTCTGCCAGTGCCTAAGGCCCATCTTGTCTTTTTTTTGTCTGACTTCTCAAAACAGACTTTACTCCATGAAACCCTGAATCATTTTATTGGAGAATGACATTTGCACTGATCTGGGTGTTAGGTGTCTTTACTACTACTAGACCCTCAGAGGTAGGAAGTAGGTGGTTGTGAGTATACACATACAATTATATATAAAACATTGGGAAATCCCTTGCACAGGGCCTTTTTAGAGGATTGAAAAGCAAGGACGATCCTTTTAGGATTAAGGTGCTCCTGACTCAAGCCATGGCATTTTCTATTGCCTCATATGCATGGGAAAGTTAGACACTGAATAAGGAAGACTTAAGAAGAATCGGTATGTTTGCATTGTGTTGTTGGAGAAGAATATTAAAAGTATCATGGTCTGCTAAAAGGACAAACAGATCTGTCTTGGAAGAAGTTGGCCAGAGTGCTCCTTAGAAGCAAAGATGGTGAGACTTCATCATGCTTACTTTGGATACATTGTCAGGAGAGACTGATCCCTGAAGAAGGACATCATCGTTTGGTCAAGCAAAGGGGACAGTGAAAAAGAGGAAGGCCCTAAGGAGAAAGATTGACACAGTGATTGCAACAATGGGCTAGAGCCTAGGAACGATTTTGAGGGTGGTGCAGGGCCAGGCATTGTTTCATTCTGTGGTACATAGGGGTCGTTATGGGTCAGAGCTGACTCAGTGGCTACTAACATACATCTACATATATATATATATAGGAAGTCTTAAGACACTTGAAACCTGCATGGCCAAGAAAAATAAAAGAATGTGCTGAGGGAATTTTTTTATTCACAACAATGCACAGGTATATGTGTGTATGTATCTGTGTGCATAGACATATATGTAACATACATTATAATGTTTTCATGCACACACACATCGCAAGAACCTTGCTGGTGTCGTAGTTCACGTGCAATAGGATTTTCAGATGCCTAAGTCAGTGGACGGAATGAAAATTGGTCCTACAGACAGCTAGAAGCCTTTCTCAGCAATAGACAGTTCTCTTTTTGTTTGTCTCGGATGTTTTCTTCTTAACATGCGGTGCCCTCATCTACACAATTCCAGAGTAGTTACACAAACAGGGATCAAGAGATGGTGGTGGACCCAACCTGGCTGAGAGTAAACATTTAAACCTGACATATTTGGATAAAGAGAATCCCTGGAAAAGGGATGGGCAACCTTGGTGCCTACCTACTCTGGCAGGATCTTGTCAAATGGCGAGTTTTGTTTTCCTTATGCAAGTAATTAAACATGATAGGGCCTCTTGTTCTTTGAATGCTATATTCAGGTATAGGAAGCAGGCAAATCCCGGAGCATGTGTGAAATCAATAGATATCACTTTCTGCTGCCAATGGGACTCACCTTCAATAGAATGATTGATTCATTCAATCAGTAGAATGAATAGAATGAATGAATTCAATAGAATGAATCATTCAATAGAATGATTATGTACTTCAAGGTCTGCTTATTGCTTGTGGCCCATAAGGATAGGGATGTCAGATACTCCATCATTGTGACTTTGCACTATACAACAACAACAAAAATACTGCAGGAACTCCTGCCAGCAAGTTAATTCCATTCCTAGTGACCCTACAGGGCAAGGTAGAACTGCCCCTGTGGGTTTCTGAGATTGTAACGTTTAAGGGGAATTGAAAGCTGCTTCTTTCTGTCTCTGAGCAGCTGGTGGTTCCAAACTGCTGACCTTGTAGTGAGCAGCCCAACACAAGTCCACTACACCAACCACCAGGGCTCCTCTGCACTGTGCTGCCCTGACCCAAGTAAAGGAGCAAACACACAAAAAACATGGTTACTTTTTGAAACAATTGAGGCCCACAGCAGCTATTTTCTTTAGTTTATGCACGTGGAAAAATTGACCACAAATGCTGATGATGGTTTTGCAGCGTGGTTAGTGTAAGTTAGGTTACTAATTTATACAGGGGAAAAGTGCTAACTTGGCACATGTGTTTTACATACTACCACCACCAAGAAAACTTCATTTCGAGGTAGGACAGAGAACCAAACTGCAAGTATCCTTGTTTGTTTTGTATTCTGTGAATTTTATTATTAGTTCCTCTTATATTTCGAAAAGGAAATATATGCCCAGATGATTATATATGTGTGTATATGTCAGTCATGCAGGCAATATAATAAAAAGTCTCATTCTTGACCTCCCTCCTCATCCTCAAATGAACCTTTTATTCTTCCAACAGTTTTATTGACACCTAATTTACGTGCCATACAATTCAATAGTTCAACCATATAAAGGAGAATTGTACAATCACCACCACCTCAATTTTAGAACATCCTTCTCTATCCTCCTCACCCTCCACCTGGTTAAATCACCTTTAAAATGAGTTGTTCCGACACAACCAGCTCTAATGTTGCTTCCCCCTTCCTGCCTTCATTATTGATTCTTGAAATCCCTTTTCCCTTGCTGTCCCTCATCCCGCACACCCCTGCATCCTCAGTAAACCCTTGTATCAGTTATGATCACTATGCAACTACTCCTCCTGTGCTTCACAAACTGGGAAACCCAACAGAAACAATAAAAACCAAAATCAAAATAAGGTGGTACGGATAAGATAATAATATAAAGACCAAAATACAAATAATGAGTAAGAAAGAAAAGACCCCTATCAACATTCAAAAAGCCAGGGAATAAATTTCTGTCATGGAACCTGTAAGAAATACTTGCACCCAGAACAAATACAGGTCGGGTCTATAGGGAGGTCAACGGGCCAGATAACGAGTTTGAACCAGCATAATCAAGCTTTCGATGGCCTTGGCCTGAGAGTAAGGCTGTTTGAGGCACTTCCCTGTGGCTAGATCGGATCTGCCAGTGGCTCAGTCTGACTAGCTACTCTGCAGATGGGTTTTGGGTTCCCACTGTCCTCCAGAGCCTTCTACAAATTAGATGTTCATAAGCTTAGCTCTGATACGTTTCCCTTCACCATCCTTGAGTTTTGTCATTGCCGTCTTTGGGTCACACGGGCTGATGTGTTTCTTCTGTGTGAACTTGATGACTGCGTGTTGGAAAGCAAGCATTTAAGACTCCAGCACTATTCGGATTGATAGCAGGGCACCATCTGCTTTCTTCAGCACACTTTGCCTGATGAACCTTTATCGTCATTTTCTCGTGTCTCTAGAGACACGGTATGCACATACAAGTTAAAAAACCCCAAAATCACGGTCCTAGGGTTCCAGATCCTACACACACAGGCTCATTCTAAACAAAACATGTTTAAACATGTCTGTGTCCTACATGATATTTGGTGATCAGTGGGTGGCTGCAGACGTGTCCACTTGGTAGGACACTTGCTTTAGACTCATTAAAACTCAAACTCACAGCCACCCAGTCAATTCTCACTCTTGACAACCCTATGGTACAGGA